AAAAGAAGTTTAAAAAGAAGGGAAAAAAAAAAAAAAAAAAAAAAAAAAAAAAAAAAAAAAACCAAGTGTGTGTGTGTGATTTTATTATCAGTGTCATTTTACAAACCTTGGTCAAGCTCAGTGAACCAAAGAAATGTCAGGCATTCACGTGGGGGTAGCGAGCCCTACAGGCACAGGGGAGGGTGCTGGAAGAATGCACGTGTGATCTTTGGGTAGGGAAGAACTGATTTGCTTGAGGGGTGGTAGGTCCAGTGTGCCAAAATAGTGCAACAGTGGGGAAAATGACAGAAAAATATGGCAGAGGGTGGGAGAGGAGGTAGGCAAGGACCAACCAGATCGCTGGAACCTGATTATTTGTACTCCGTAGGAACATGCTTTAGTGAAACAGCAACCAATAGTGTTGAGAGTACTAAGCAATCACAAAATCTTAAGAGTTGAAACATTTCCTGTTTTTAACTGTAGAAACAGTAAGAGGTAAGTATGCAAAAGTCTGCAGATCTGCTTGCACACACAGGAGTTTCCACTTGAGACCAGGACAAATAGAATATGGATATGAATGTACGCATGCTCATGTTCTCTACCTAAAGAAATGGTTCAGGCAGGAAGTTTAATAAAGGGCCTTGACCCAAGCCAACTGAAAACTTCGTAAAATGTTGAGGGTGCACATCAGTCAGTCAAGTATCAAGCAAATAAGTACAGCAGATCTAGTCACAGTTTCATTGTCTGTAGTCCCTCCTTCCCAGATTCTAAAAGGGAGGTTAATTTCAAGAATTCTTCCCAGTTTTTTGTGAAAGCTTAGGAAATTTAACTTGATTGAAGTTGGAATGGGTAACTTTCAGTTAAGCAAGGAAAAAAGAGATTCCTCCAGACCTAGTTCTATAGCCAGGGTGCTAATTTCCTTGACTCAGTTGACCAGAGGCTGCTGGACACCTGCACTGGGATGGAGAGTGAAGGGATGGGACTAGAACATGCCCAGGGAGGTGAAGCAGTCATTGGTTCCTGATGTTCAAGAAGTATTGGGACCAGCAGATGGTGTAATGATTATGTCACTGGACTTTCACGTAGTTGGACACAGTTCAAATCCTGGACCTGGTAGCTTAAAACTCATGCCAGGCACGTGTGCTTGCATGCCCAAAATCTCAAGAGGAGAATGGATTGTGGTGTGGCCATCCCTGCTGGCGAGTGATTTCTTGTTTTCTGTCTCTCTCTGTCTCTGGCAAGTGCACATGCTCTATAGCGAAAATCTCTCTCAAAGGAAGTACTCCACAGTTCTATGAAAGACCTTTGGGAAAGGCAAGGAAA